TCCGTATTTAATGATTTTTATAGTTAAAAAAGCAAAAATTTAGTAACCAAGTTGCTTAAAATATTTTTAAAAATTTTGTAAAAAAATTGTTAAATAACACCTCGTTTTACTGGTCCAAATTCAACTACTTTTTTAAATTGGCCCACATAGAGGATAAAAAAAGTAAGAGTATACATGACTAAAATGTATTGTCAGAGCATTTTTGTGAAACTAGGGCAAACTTTTATGTAAGTCAGATTTGCATGACTATTACTTAATTAGATATATTAACTGTTACTACACACTTAATTTATTAAACAGGAACTACATTTTTAACAAAAAGTGGGTATCTTTTAAAGACAGAACACTGATTTATCTTTTGCACCATTTTTATACATTGTTTGGGAATATCTTGACATTTCTAAGTTCACAAAAATAAAACTTAGTACGTTTAAATTGCTAGAAACAACGTATGGCAATGGCTAGTATATTTAGAACTTTAAACTAGTAAGCCATCATGATAGCACTCTAATGTGTTTTGGGGTTTGAATGAACATAACTTCAACATTGTATCATATTCTTTACTTTTACTGAAACACGTAGAATGTATTTAAGTACATTGCCATAGAGAATGTTCCATTCTTATTTCATGAAAAACTTAATTAAGGCCAAGTTTACATATTAACAAATAATTCTGCATATGGAAGATCTGTAATACATAATGGTCTTGAGGATGATCATATAAGATCAGGATAAAAGATATCCGACCTGTGGAACTTCCTTAAGATAAAGCATAACCAATGCAATCACTTTCTTATATATAATAATAATAATATAGAACCAATTGTTCATATAGTTGTAAATTTGGTATTTCTCTTTTCATAACAATAATGGTTTAAACATTAACTTTCACATGCCACTTCAATATTGGTGAAGCTCTCACTGTTACAAAGTATCTTGGTGAGTCAGCAGTAAGTTTATGGACCTACAATGCTAAATCCATGGTCTGATTACCTGTGGTGGAGTGAGTTCAGAAAGCCTTTTGTGTGGCTTTGAACTAAAGAAAAATACATTTATGTATACACTAAGTGTCACTTTGAATTACTTAAAGTTAATGTTATTTGCTTCCTACTAATACAGGATGATTTAATTTGTTTCTATAATACTAAATTACATGAACACAGGTCTACAAAGCACTACATAGATGATTATGTTTACGCTCAATATTCAGATAATTCAAATTCATACGCTATTATTGCAAATTACTGAAGCTCTAATTATCACTATTGTATAGACAATCACCTTTGCTGTATCACAATTCTTTGCACTTAAGATTGTCAACTGAGCATTTGCTGTGCCGCACGTTGTTTTTCAATCTGCTTGCAACACTGATTGTTTGCATGTTAGTGTTGCTGTTTGGAGTTCAGGCTGAGAAACAGCCATGATAGTTGTTGCTGCAGGCATTCTCCTCTCTTGCAACCTGTTTACTGTCACTTTGAACCAGGTTTCCATAGGTACTGTCTCCATTAAAGTGTAGATGTCTCTAACTCCCAAATAATGTCTCATCCATGAACTTATGAATGAGGATATCCTTGCAATGTGCATTTCAAGGTAGGTGACACATAATTCTTGCAAGCATCCAAATTCTCTCACGTACCCCCTCTTTTAAGCCTTGAATTAGGCCTAATTTATAATTCATTTCTTCAGTCAGGACAACTCAGTTATATCTTGTCCAAGCAGTGGCGTAGCAAGAGGGGGGGGGGTAGCCGCCCCCGGGCGCACGTGTGAAGGGACGCAAAATTTCCTCTGGTCTGTAATGCCAATTAATAATTATGCCCTCCCCTAGGATATAGCGCAACTCCCCTACGTTAAGTAAATTGACACAATGTTACGTTATTTGTGTGCATTACGCTTGCTGTTTTAACTTTTAAAAGCCGCCCACTGAAATACAGTGAGACCGAATTGACGTACAGAAGAAAATTACACTATTCCATCATTCATCTGTAGATCAAACTACA